TACATATAAAAATAAATGAATGTCATTTCTTTTTGAACATCTAAGCTATAGAGTGCTTAAATCTTTTAAAAACTCTACTGCATGGGCATCCACTGAGAGAGCTCATATTTCATTATAACAATTTCTTTTCTCCCAGCATATCTGAGAAGTATGCTTGTCTTCATTATGGCCATTAACCTTAGAAGATGAGTACCATTCTCCACATGGGGTCACGTCATTGTCATGATTTCATAGGGAGAAGGCTGGGGTAAAGCAGAGGCACTGCGGTGACATTAGCCCTTGTCACTCTTTCTAATGTAACCTCAGCCCCTTTCTTTCTGTCATTAAAATGAGGTTCAATCATGAAACTCATTGCTTAAATTGGCACACTTTTCTCAAAGTGAGAAGATGGGGAGTCAAATACAGTGAAACAGGAGGAAAAGCAATTTGTAAGTCGCAGCAGCAGCTCTTGACAAACTTCATGGTAAGGGAGAGTAAAAGACTGTAATGTGTGCTTTTAGCAAAAGCGGATGGGCTGTAGTCTTGCAGCTTCTCACCTGACTAAAAGAATATGAGTGAGACCATTGTTAATTTCATTATTAAATTGCTATTTTCTTAATCATCAAGTACACATTAGAGTCGTTTTTGAAACAATGACTTGGTTTGGTTCAGCCTTCAATTGAAACAGGCTCATCAGCTCCCAGTTTGAGCTAAGGAAAGAGGCTTTTTGTTCTGTTTGTTTTGTTCTATTTCTATCAAAAAATGAAATTATTCCCAACTGAGGACTGGATGATAGGAGTGACAAAAGACTACTTCAGTTTAACGTCCTCATCGATTCCTTCAAGTGTTATTAGGGAGACAGAGGGCTAGATCTTGGGAGGAAGGGATGTGGGAAAGCTCAGTTTTTCCTATTAGAATGAACAGCTCCTCATGTGCCTCAGAGTCATATTTTCTAACACAACTATCATTTTGAGTCAAGATCTTCAGGGTCCTAGTCATAGTCTATGATTATGGGGGATAATGCCCCTGATGTTATCAGGTCCTATATGATTAGGTGTTTTCTTGGGGTTCAGGGAATTATTATGTTTAAACATTTCCTTCCAGAAGGAATGTTCTTTGGTGTCCAGAGAGTCCCTGACAATGAGACGTTAGGGGCAACACAATGACCAGTACCCTGTCATCTGCACTTGAAAGGAGGACACTAGCAAAGGTGGAGGGACCCCTGTCAGCAGGGAGAGAGCTGAGTTAGGGTAGCTCATTGCTCACTAATCCTGCTCTTGAGAGATTTTTGAATTGTTACTTTTCTTAAGCAATATTATCTAATGTCCTATTTCTCTCATTTTAAGTTAGCACTCTTATAGTTTTTGCTTCCCTCCAAGGAAATACTATATTAAAAATTTATTCATTAACTAATGTGTATCATAATAAATGTAATTCATTTTTAATAAAAATTCCTGCATTTTTACCTTTTTGATCTGAAGCATGCTGTTTGCATAGGCATTTGACTTATTTTCCTCTGGTTTGCCTGAAATTTGACTTTAAAAAAGGAAGTTCACTTCATGTGCATTAAAACTTATTGCATCTCACTAGGTGTCAATTTGTTCTATATGTTTTTAGTTAAAACAGTGACTTGACCAATATTTAGGGAAAAGAAGACTGAGTCTCCACTGGGGGGAATGACAACCCATTAATTAAGATTAGTGTTTAAGGATAATTCACACCTAGCAGCCTCTTAGAAATAAATAATCCAATGTGGGAAAGGGAGGCTGTAGGTATGCCATGTGCTCACTGGTAATGGCAACCCTCATATCAGTTATCAAAATAATGAAATGAAGCAACATGTCATTGGGCATCAAATGCCATTGGACAATTCTTCATGGTCTCTTATTTTCAAGCAAATAGAGGTTTGCTAGATGAAAATGAAAAGAAGATGTTACCAGTGAATAAATAATGATATATTCTCACAAGATTTGAAACATTGTTTCTGTGACCCGATTGATAAAGGTTATAAAAAAGGCACTATAGCTTGATTATTTCACCAAGGTTTGGGGTGGGTCCCCGATCCTCTACTCCAAGCTATACGTCAGAGATGAAGCTGGTTTTAATTCACATAAGGCAGAGCCAGAAAAGTGTTCACAGTGTTACTTAGAGTTCTAGACTGCTTAAGATTAACAATTTCCTATCCATCCCTCGTTTTTTTTTCCTTTTGTAAAATTATAAATCCTAGAAGAATTGGGAAAGGTGAATGGGTATTTTTCTTTTTGATCCAGCATCTTATGCATGAAGCTTCTAACTACAGCAGTAATTCTGCAAGATAAACACTGAGACAAAATTATATTTTAACTTAGTAAAGAAGGTGGCATAGTTTTATTTTAACTGACTTCTAACTACTGGGCCACATTTAGTCTGGGTTGTTTACAAATGAACAAACTCATGATCAAAATAAGGAATTCAGCTTCTGTGCTCAAGTGGGAAGAAAGTAGACTGCAGTCCTATGTCACTTGATGGGGACACATTCTGAAGAAGGCATCCTTAGGTGAGTTCATCATGGTGCCAACATTGTAGAGTATGCCACACAAACTTAAACAGCTAGCTGATAGGATCTTAGGAGACCAGCATCATATAGGCAGTCTGTTGTTCACCAAAACATCACTGACACCATCAATGCAGCATATGACTGTAATAAACATTGGAAACCCAGAGGAGTATTTTCTGAACAGCCATGAGCTAGCAGATTAGACAAGTTTAAGAACCATTATTATTACTGTCTTTGTTTATGAAATATTTGGCAAATGTCATAGAAAATCTACTACCACTCAAGAGGTTGTACACATAAAATGAAATCTTTCATTATTTATAGTAATTTCCCAATTGTCGATGAGATCAAGTAGAAAGAGACCACTGTTAACAGTTTAATATTAACTCTCTATCCAACTCACCATGATTCCTTCAGTTAGCTATCTAACCTTCCTGTATCTCAGCTTTCTCGTCTACCAAATAGATATAATGATATTTTAAAAGTATATGAGTATATATTATAAAAGTATATATACATATACTTAAAATGTGTACCTTAATTCATTTTATGAAAATGAATTTAAAAGGGTATATATATGCTTTTAAAATATCATTATATATAATTTACATTGAATGGATTGCACACATATATGTATATATTACATATTTATATATGTACAAATACATATTTATGTACTCATGTTCATACATATTTATATTCATATTTATATATGTTTATACATATTTATATATGTACATATTTATATGCATAAATGATTAATAGATGAGAGTTCTCTGGAAAGTTAAAAGTATCATTCAATTTTGAGTTATTATTAATAATGTAAGACTTGTGGAAATATAGGGAACAGCCTCTGCTTGCCCAGCTGGCGGTGGGAGGTAGTGTACAAATGTGAGGTCACAGATCATTTTTTGAACACTCAGAGTCAATGCCTGCTATCATCTGCAAAGCCTGAATGGGCCCTGGAACCATCCCCTGAGAAGGCAGCATTTCCTCAATAACTCATCCAGGTTTGGATGCACCAGTTTATTCACAGTTTCTTTACTCTGCTGTTAAATACTTAAAAGCCAAATATTAGCAAGACTAGCATTTGGACCTAGTCTGCCCTGGTTACTGTAATAACCTGTCCCCCAGAGGGGATTTACATAGGCCTTCTAGAGAGCCCTTAGTTTGTCACACTGGAAGTCCTTAGTAAGAGGGAGAAGTTGGACCATCCTGCTTTTTTCCACAACTGTCTTATACTGGTGTCCTATTGAGTCACAAAAGCATACATTTCAGGTTGGGACTGGGAAAGAAAACCAACTCAGGTCCAGGGCAAGAATGAACAGTGCTCAGCTTGGTGAGTTTTGGCATTTGAATCCTTATGGAGGGACCCAAGGACAAAGGCCTTCCAGCAGTCTTAATACACTTGGTGAATGCCTGGAGCAGAGTAAATACTTCCTCTTTTTAAAATGAATTGATGAATGTGAACTATCTAGTGAGTACCCAATTTATTCATAACGGGGGACATATAGAGGAATATGACAGTCTTATATTGAATGTTGTCATTTACTCCAGAAGATGAAACATGAGTATAGGAAATACTTGACTATTTAAATAAAGTTTTTTTAGGTGATCAAATAAATGATTTAACGTATAGACAAAAGAATCCAGACAATTTAAGAGGTATCTTAGGAAGTGGGACTTGAGCAGGATTTGGAAAGAATGTTTGGGATATGGGAAGATGAAAGGAAGTTGCCATTCCAGTACTAGTAATGGCATAAGCAAATGTCTAGAAATGCAAACAGGTATTACTTTGGAGCCCTGGGAGGTTACTATTTAAAACAAAACAGGGTGTGACACATTGTGATGTAACCTATGGAAATATTCATAAATGTGTACAAAATTGTATATGAAAAGATGTTGGTTGTCTGAATTAGCAAAAATCATGAAGCAATTTACATTCCATCAGTAGGAAATGGCTAAATAACCACTGGTACATTAACACCATCAAATGCGCTAGGAAATAGTTGAGAAGAATGAAGCAAGTCTTTGTGTGCTGACATACAAAGGCCACCAAGGAAAGACCTGACAGTGTATTAATGGAGAGAATGCATTTATGTAATACCTGTTAACTTTGAAAATTGATTTAAAAAAAATCAAAGTGGTGCTTCAGGAAGATTAATGTGATGGCATTGTACTGAATTAAAAGGGAGTGATTAGAAGTGAAGAGAAATGTTAAGGAGACACGTGCAGGAGTGCCGATGTCCACCGCCAAGGGTGGAGACCTAGCTAGTAAAGAGAAAAAGAACCCAGAGATATATATTCTGATGAATGATTATGAAGGACTTCATGACAGATTTTAAATTAGAGGACAAAGAAGAGAGAACAATTATTCTCTGGCCTAATTGTAGGAAATACACCCTGAAAAGTGATTGCTACTAACTGGGACAGACTGGTGCTAATAGGAAACCTTTAAGAAACGTTTCWTGTTTTTGTTTCACAGGATGGAAGAAACAGTACGAAATCTATTGCAGAGTCAAGGACCTCCAGAGCAGAAGAGAGAAGAACCTGTTAACATAATGACCTATCAGGTACACTATGTTTCTGACTCTTGGCTGTGTATCGGTCGGCTTGTTTTTCTTGCTGATAGCCACGTAGTCACCTCTGGTTTGAGGAATTAAATGCATGTTTAGTTGTCATTTTTTCCCTTAAACTCCTACTTTGAAACAGATCACAGAAGTGATTGTAGTAAGATGCAAAAATATAGTGAAACAGGGAGACTTATAAAGGCAGTGCATTGCCCTGTGGTCAGGGTTATGAGAGAGGTATCTGCAATGTTCTCCGGGAACACAGGAGAAGCAGTGGCTCATCCTGTCTGAGGAGCTGAGGAATGCTCACCAGAGGTGTGACATTTGAGGTGACTTTGAAGAGGAGAGAATGAGGGTAAGGGCATTCCTGATCATGGGGAACCTAGACTAAGGTGCAGTAGCCTCTTGACAGCAAGACTGTGAGGTTAGCCTCTTGACAGCAAGACCATGAGGTTAAGTTCAGAGTAACTGAATAATGGCTTGATGAGATATAGAATTTGATTATGAGACCAAGGGTATAAAGACCATGGTGAGTTCTGGATCAATATGGTGTGACCAGGAATCTGGCCCTTCACCTGGCAGTGTGGAGTCTAAAGAGGTCCAGAAAGTAAGAGTTCATTTAAGTAACAAGTCAATATCTTCTCTTGATGGTCGTTATCCCATAGTCCTTTAACACTAGCAAGGTGGCCAGGTTAGCAAGCAGGACATATAATTTGAATATGGCACCCATTGGATGATGAGGCTTGTGCAGGGTGGAAAAGGGAAATACAACAGAAATAGCACAGGGACTCTATATGGATAGCTGTAGGATTTTTATCCGAGATCATTTAAAATCACAAATAGAGGCCTGACGTTCCCTATACAACTATATACGGCAAGCTAAAAAAGCTAATGAAGGCAAGGAATTGGGCAGATATTTGAGATGACCACTGGAAAGCCCAATTTTTTTGCTAGTAAAAATCAAGTGGGTTTGGGGAGACAGGCACAGAAAGCCATCTTTTGAGGATAATTTTGCATGAATTACTGAATTCATGAGTTCAGAGTTCTGCAACCCAGTGTATTAGGAAGAGGACAGGGAATGGGATCTGATAATAAAAATCAAGGTACCATGCAGGGTTGTGAGATTGTGGCATACTTAGATCTTAGGAGGCTGTGCTTAAATAGTTGACTCTTGAAACACACATGGGACGATTCTACAAAGATGAGGACAACTCTTCTCCATCTCCAGTGAACCCAGGGCAAGGAGTTGACTTAAGATATCTCAGAGGAAATTAAAATTAGCTCCATAAAGACAACAGAAAGTTCACTAGATACTATTCCTAGCAGGAAAATCTTTTGAGGTGGATAAGAAGGGGTTATCAACAGAAAGCTCCTATTGTTCAAGGAATATGTTCCTGAATTTTGTGGTCTACACAAAATTATTCAGTTTTTCCTTTAAGATGGTCACCTAAATTTAGGACATTTAAGTCCTACTAATCTGAATTATTCCTAGGTATTGTATTTGCTTGGATAGAATGGTGAGATACAGGAAAAAAAGTAGGACTTGACTGAACATTGACTAGTTCTGTTCAACCTAAAGGAATCATGAATCTGAAACTGGTCATTTTCTCCCCTCACAGGTAACACCAGGCTCCATTAAAACTAAACAATACCACATTTCACTTAGGCTTTTTTTTTTAACTTTCTCACTGTGCATTTCTTATCCAGATTCTTATTTCCTTTAGGTTATTGCCTCCCCAATCTCTCTTCCCATTATTAACCAAGTGTGTATTGGAGACTCTTATCATTATCAGAATTCACTTTGTGAAACTGGAAACTAGTTTGAAAATAGATACACTAATAAAACTGTGTTTTGAAAATATTCCCTCTCCAAAATCCAGTCTGTTGATTTGGGGAAATGAGCTCTTCCCTCTAGAGAGAAGAAAAGTTGTTGAATGCCACACGAAGGGAATGTTGCAGTCATCGTTCTAATTGGCTATAGGTTTCTTATTTGTAAAGTGGGAGAGGGATATGGGTTACATGACCTGTAAAGTTCATCTGTACATTCAAAAAATATTTTTTGAATTTGTAAGACATGTGAGGCACAACCTTGTGCTTTTGGAATTCAGGAAATGAGCACAAAGAGAAAGGAAAGGGGCAGCACTGAGTCCCAGGGAGGTCCCCTTCATCTCTCAAATTCATTGAACTATTATCATAATATCAGAGTAATAGTTATCTGTGTGTGGGCCCATGATTTGCATGCATGAAAGGAGGCTGTGTTTTGTTCAAGGAGTATGTTYCTGAAGATCTCATGTGTTCTTTGATAATTTATGTCTTGTGTCATTCAACATGAATTCTCTTAAAGATGGTGGGTGTTTCTGTTCAGCAATCAAAGCATTCCCATCGTGTTGCAATCAGGGGTTTATAGTTTACCAACCTTGCCATTGTGCAGTTCTTGACTTTTATTTTCATTTGGAAAATTTGCATGATTTCAAGTTTTATGCATGAAGTGGTAGTAAATATTTTGTGGCTTTGATTTCCAGATTGCCTCATTCRGAGCCCGATCAAAAGTTACTCCACTTTAGTTCAATCAGTCCTCACAATTTTCGGGGGGAGAGCCTAACCCTATTCTCATTTTACAGGTGTGCACATGTGGCTCAGGAAGCAGTGAGCACTTGCCTGAGGGTGCACAGGTAGGAAGTGGCATAGAAAGAATGTGAACCCTGCTCAATCTGACTCCACAGCTCCTACACTCAGAAATTCTAGAGAAATTAAATGATAGGGCCCAAATTACCCCGTGGTGATTATTCAAAATGGGACCTGAACTGGGCCTGTCTGCTTTCTACTTATAACTCCTTCATCCCTCCATCACCCATTCATTCACTCAGTCACTCATTCAAATGATAGTTATTCATTTATCTTCTTATGGAACTATGTTAGTTTCCTCTTGCTGCTATAACAAACTTAGTGACTTAACACAACATGGATTTGTTCCCTTTTAATTCTGGAAATCAAAAATCTTCAAGCAAGGTGTTGTTGGCAGAGCTACATTCTTTCTGGAGGCTTTCAGAGGAGAATCATTTTGTGCCCTTCACAAAATCTACCATTCCTTGGATTCTATCTTCAAAGCAAATCACTTGTCTCTGCTTTGTCATCATATTTTATTTTCCCAACTTTGCTTCCCTCTTCTAAGGATCCTATAACTACAGTGAGTTCAATTGGGTAATCTAAGTTCCTTATGTCAAGATTCTTGAATCCCATCTGCTCAGGAGTTTGAGGCAGAAGAATCTAAAACTCTAAATTCTGAAAAGAAGGGTTGGGTATGCAGCTCAGTGGTAGATATCTGCTCGACATGTGTGAGACCCTGGGTTCAGTCCCTAGTACTGAGATCCAAACAAATCTGCAGAGCCTTTGGCCATGTAAGGTCCCATTTTATCAGGTTTTAGGAATTGAGATGAACATCTTTGGGGAGGTGGGCATTTTTCCCTTTGCCACACTTGGTCATGCTCACTAGCCTAACAATGCCCAGCAGACATGAAGCTAAATTCTGGAGATTCAAAGGTGCCTGACTTAGGCTCAATTTATATGTTACTCCAGGTCAGGAAAGGGAGAAAATAATCGCATACTTTCAATGATATGAGAGAAGCCAGAATAGAAGTTTGCACAGGTTCTGTGCAAGGAGCATGCGCCATTGGGCCTACTGTACTATTCTCCCTGGAGACTCCACCACCTGCCTTGGACTCATTTTTAATAACCAGTTTTCCTTTTGGGTTGTCTCTTAAAATGGACATGAGAGTCATGAGCTTCGTCATGAGTCCTATGGTCTTCGTTTCTCAAACCATTTTATGTCCCTGGTGTTTTAGGATAGAGTCTATCTGTCAGGTCACATATATTTGATGCTATAGTTTGCAAAGCACTGATACAAAATAGATCTCCTTTGTTTGCTCCAGTGGCCTCTAAAATAGATATTGTCATGCTCATCTTAGGACGAGGCTCGTAGAGGTCTGTTTGAACTCTGGCAGATGCTAAGTGCTCGAACTAGAAATAAGTCACAAATTCTCCTAGAGGAGATATAGAGAATTAGCTTGAACAATATCTGTGGAATATTTTTATGGCAGCAGGATGAAAAGTGGACACAGTTTAAAATCCCAGGTCACRAAGTCACTATTTCAAAATTAAAAAAATAGAAAAACAAAGAAAAGTAAGAAAAAAAATAAGTAAAAGTAAACTGAGATAAGTTAATAATCCACAAAAGTGTTGGATCTCATTTTCCCTGTGGGAGAGACAGCTGTCTGAGTAATAGAGACATTATCATTATATTTAGGGCAGGTGCCGTGTGCACCTGGGACACACTTGTCTCATTAGGGGAAAATATAAGACCTGGAAAGATTGTCTTTAGAAGAGTCCAACTTAGAATCATTCCCTTCTGCTCTGTTTGGTTTTTCAGCTCATTCTCTCTAGGTGTTTTAGGGTTTCTTATGTGTCATATATTCTTACCACACATATCACCATTTTATTGAATTAAGGAAATTTATGTTAGGGAAAAAAATCACAATTAGACATGAGAGAGGGTAGTTAAAGATCAATGAAATAGAGCAGCTGATTGGAGGGAGATGTCATTCTTCCAGTTTCATCTGTCCTCATGTATACACACAGCCCGGCTATGTGAGATGTGAATAACCATAACATTAATAGTGGGTTCCCCCAGTATAGGCCCTTTGCGTCTCTATACAGCAACCTTCTGTGGTTCTTCATCGTAGCTGATGTACTTACACCTGTTTCTACTTTTATTTATGGAAGATGAATTGAATCACATTAGCTAACTCATTTGAGGAAAAGAAAAATACATGTAAGTAGAAATAACAAGTGGAGGAAAAAGTCCCACATGTGCAAACAGCTTTTGCCATTAATAAGACTTCTGAATTCATACAGTCACTTAAATTCTCTGGTTACTTGTTTTTGTTTGTTTGTTTGTTTTTTGTATTTTTAAAAGAAGAGATTTTAAACTAAACTATGGAGCACAA